CGGGAGAGAGCCACCTTGCAAGATCAGAGCCTCCCCCCTTGCTCTGAGGTGGGAGGGTGGCGGCAAGCCTGCCATGCCGGAGCCCGCGATCTGGGGACTGGCGGCGGCGGCCCCCGGGAGAGGAAGGCGGGGCAGGAGGAGGAGGATGCCCATGAGAAGGAGGATGGGGGAGGAGTAAGGGAGTGGAGAAGGCGGAGGTGGAGGATGAGGAGGAGGAGGAGGAGGAGGAGGAGGAGGAGGAGGAGGAGAGAGGAGGAGGGTGGGGGAGGAGTAGGGAGTGGAGTGGAGGAGGAGGAGGAGGAGGAGGGGTGGGGAGGAGGAGGAGGAGGAGGAGGAGGAGGAGGAGGAGGTGGTGGAGAGTGTGATAACAATGGTGACGAGGGGAAGGAGGGGTCAGGAAGACGAGGGACAGGGGCGGATGAGGAGGAGGAGGAGGACGAGGAGGAGGCGGAGGAGGAGGAGAGGGAGGTGGAGTTGGAGGAGGGGGATGTGGAGGAGGGGGACGCGGAGGCGGATGAGGATGAGGAAGTGGAGGAGAAGGAGGAGGAAGTGGAGCAGGAGGAGGGGGAGGAAGTGGGGTGAGAAGGGTGAGGCGGAAGTGTAGGATGCAACTTCTGGGAAGGTCAATTGATCATCGGCGCTGGTTCTGTTCCGTGGTCGACAACAGGCCGAATCTGACATAATCCTGCTTGACCTGGTTCAATATGGTTGAATACGGCTTAATCCGGCACAATCCAGCTCAATCTGGCTCAATGGCCCCTTGATCGGTACTGATAGTCCTCAACCTCTCCCACGAAGATCTCCCATGAGCTGCCTCCTACTAGGAGACCGAGCACGAGAGGGCTCATGTGCTTTGTTTCGGCATCGCCCGAACAAACTTGTACTAGGTGTGCCTCGGCCCCACAGGGGCGACGCGGGCGCACATTGGCGCGGGTCACGATGCACCATGTCAGGTTTGTATTTCATGCATGTTCGTTTCGGCCGTACGCCTGCAAGGTGGGCCCCTTCCTTTCCCCTTCCCCCCTCTCCAAGAGATGCGCGGTCAAATTACCCTGTGACGTACCCAACCCATTTGCATCAAGTGATCAGAGGAGTTGGCCCAAACTTGCCAGGACAATGACAGTGCGGGCGCCGTTTTACGTTGTGCAAGCTACATGGGATGCGCTCACGTGGCACGATTCACGGGACATCAACAGAAGGACGAGGAGCGAAGGCCCAGGCTTGAGGAAGACATGGGGGCGGGAACGACAGGCAAGAGAAGGACGCGCAGGGGGCCGACCCGTCAGCGCGGCAGCAGCAGAGGGAAGGTGGCAACGTGCAGGGGACGACGACGAAAGTGACGGGAGGAGACCGAAAAGTGTTGTTTTTTGTCGGTGGCACGCCAAGATGCAGCGCTGCCTGCGCCATGTCTCCGCGGCGATCGACAAAATGATGAAACAGAGCTCGCCCAACAGCTTCCCTGCTTTATTCCTGCACTCTTCCGTGCGGGAGCTAAACGCTCGAAGGCGCGCCGCCAGGTCTGCGGGCGGCCCGCGACAGCGCCCCGCTGGACCCCCCAGCAGCCTTCAAAAGTGGCGACAGTTTCTCAGATCGCAGCCTCCCAGGGACGGCGAGGTCTAATCTGAATGTGGGTGGTGCCTCACTCCGCTGGACCCACCAGCGGCATTGGAAGGGGGCGACAGTTTTGCATATCGGAGCCTCCCAGGGATGGCGAGGTCTAGTATGAGTCAGAGTGGTGCCTCATTCCGCTGGACAGCCCAGCGGCCCTGGACACTGGCGATGGTTTCGCGGAGCGCAGCTCCCCAGGGACGGCGAGGTCGAATTTGAGTCCTCTCATGACGTCACTCCGCTGGACCCCCCAGCAGATCTCAAAAAGCGGCGACAGCTTCGCAAGTCGCAGTGCCCCAGGGATGGTGAGGTCGAATTTGAGCCCGCGTAGGACGTCACTCCGCTGGGCCCTCCAGCAGCCCGCGGAAGTGGCAACAGTCTCGCAGATCGCAGCCCCCCAAAAATGACGATGTTTCATTTGAGTCAGTGTAAGACGTCACTCCGCTGGACCCCCCGGCAGCCTTCGAAAATGGCGACAGTTTTCATATCGCAGTCCCATGGATGGCGAGGTCGAAATTGAGCCCGCGCACGACGTCACTCCGCTGGACCCCCCAGCAACTTTCGAAAGTGGCAGCAGTTTCGCATATCGCAGCCCCCCGCCTAGGATGACGAGGTCGAATCTGGATCTGCGTAGGACGTCACCCGCTGGACCCCCCAGCAGCTCTCGAAAGTGGCGACAATTTCGCAGACCGCAGCCACCCAAGGATGACGAGGTCTAATCTGAATCTGGGTGGTGCCTCACTCCCCTGGAACCACCGGCAGCCCTCGAAAGTGGCGACCGGCTCGCAGGTCGCAGCTCCCAAGGGATGTCGATGTCAAATATGAATTTGGGTGGTGCCTCATTCCGCTGGACTCACCAGCAGCCCTCGAAACTAGCGACAGTTTCGCAGATCGCACCCCCCCAGGGACGGCGAGGCCTAATCTGAATCTGGGTGGTGACTCACACCGCTGGACCCACGAGCAGCCCTCGAAAGTGGCGACAGTTTCGCAAATCGCAACTACCCAGGGATGTCGAGGTCGAATCTGAATCTGGGAGGTGCCTCACTCCGCTGGACCCTCCAGCAACCCTCGAAAGTGGCAACAGTTTCACAAAGCGCAGCTCCCCAGGGACGGCGAGGTGACGTAGGACGGCGAGGCGAGGAGGTCAAAGGCAAGAGAGCAGAGAAGGAGGGAGGAGAGGAGGAGAGGGCGGGAGAGGACGCAGACCGCAGTGCTCTATTCATAACGAGAACCCAACGCAGGAGGGTTGGGAAAAATAGTGTTGGCATGCTCTTCTGCGTCCCACTGCCACCCTGGGCGTCATCGTCGTCCGCTGCCCGTCGCCGCCGCCGCCATCGCCTGTTATGCGACGTCGTCGTCGTCGTTCTGTCGTCGTCGTCGTCGTCGTCGTCGTCGTCGTCGTCGTCGTCGTCGTCGTCGTCACGCTTCTGCGTTTTACTACAGGCTGGGAAAGGTTTTCTCTTGACGCCGCCACGTGGCCGAACGCCGGATACCAGCAGGCATTCTGTCAGTGGTGGTTGTGCCACGTGCCGTATACCATTCGGCACATCCCAATGTGTCTTGGGACCCCCCAGGGGGCATAACGTCACAAGTGTAATGATGCCCACCACGTGTGTGAATTAATTTTTATTTCAGTTCTATACATCACGTGACAAAACTAGCACAATGTGTATCGGAGCGCCCAAAGCACCCGACGACGACGACGAAGACGAAGACGACGACGACGACGAAGACTACCACCACCACCACCATCACCATCACCATCACCATTACCATCACCATCACTATCACCATCACCACGACCGCCACGACCACCACGACCACCATGACAACCACGACGACCACGACGACCACGACGACCACGACGACCACGACCACGACGACGACGGCCACGACGACCACGATCACGACCACGACCAGGACCACCACGACGACGACGACGACCACCACCACCACCACCACCACCATCACCATTACCATCACCATTACCATCACCATCACTATCACCATCACCACGACTGCCACGACCACCACGACCACCATGACCACCACGACGACCACGACGACCACGACGACCACGACCACGACGACGACGGCCACGACGACCACGACCACGACCACGACCACGACCACGACCACGACCACGACCACGACCACGACCACGACCACGACCAGGACCAGGACCAGGACGACGACGACGACGACGACGACGACGACGACGACGACGACAACGACGACGACGACGACGACGACGACGACGACGACGACGACGATGGCGGCTAGGACGTTCACGTGCGCTCTCGCCCGAATGCCGGCCACTCCCTGGTTCTCGCCTCATTGCTGGCCAGTGTCTCGGTCTGGCCGACCACCTCTCCCTTTAGCAAGGAGAGGCCCCCGGTGCGGCGCTGATCCCCCTTCGGGAGGGGAGACGTGCCGGGGGGAGACACCGCCCCCTCCCTTCAAGGGGGGGACCCCTCGGGTGGACATACTGCTGTCGCCCCCAAACACGCACATTTTTGAAAAGGGACCGCCCGTTTGGGCTACTTGTGCTTGGGTCGCCTGATCTACCCCACTTCCTATTGGAAACCAGGCAAACTGTGAGGACGTCTCAAGGGAAACGGACCCAAACCAGGCCAGACCAGGGCCAAACCACGCTAATTGTGAGGACGTCTCAAGCAAACCAGGCCAAACCTGGCAAATTGCGAGGACGTCTCAAGCGAAACTGGGCCCAAACCAGGCCAAACCAGGCAAATTGTGAGGACGTCTCAAGCGAAACGGGCCCAAACCAGGCCAAACCAGGGGCCAAACCAGACAAATTTTGAGGATGTCTCAGGCGGGGTGCGCCGCCCAACCAGGCCAAACCAGGCCAAACCAGGCCCCAAACCAGGCAGATTCTGAGGACGTCCCAGGCAGAATCGCCCAAACCAGGCTCCATCCACTCTCCTTAATAAGATTCTAATTAAAGGAGTGGATCACCCCCTGGGCCCCCCCCCCCGCGGGCGGAAGCCTTTTAGAATTTATGGGGGGGCCTTTGGATCGCGCACCCGCTGATGCGGACAGGGTTGGGCGCAGAAGGTCTCATTCGTCTTTCGGTTGTTGTTGTTGGGGCCCGTTGTGGCGTCAAGAGAGGTGTTTCCGAGCCTGTAGTGTGCCAGTGGGCCACCCCCCCTCGGGGGCCGCCGCCGCCGCATCCCCGGGCTGTCACGTACCACGGCAACGGGCGGTGGGAGTGGTCCGCCATGCGCGTGCGGCTCCCGGCGAAGCGGGTTCCCCAAGGCTGCCGCGCGCCCGCGCGCCGCCCGTCGCCAGGAGGCAGGCGGCTCCCGCGGCGGGCCAGCGCGACGGCGACGGCGACGGCGACGGCGACTGCGGCGACGGCGGCGGCGGCGGCGATGACGTCGCCGACGAGGGCTCTCGGGGCCGTCTACGAGGCGACTCGGGATGACGAGGCGGTCTTGGGTGAAGGCGCCCAGGATCCAGGGACCCCGCTCCCTCAAGATCCGCTCGCTTCATGCCGATGTTTCCTCCTCCTCGCTCTCGTCCTCCTCCCCCCCTCCTGCTTCTCCTCATCCTCCTCCTCATCCTCCTGCTCTTCTTCCTCCTCCTCATCCGTCTCCTTCTCCTCCCTTGTCTTCCTTCCTCTTCCTTCCTACCTGTTCAAGAGAAACTGTCGGATGTCTGCGCGGACTTCTTGGATCGTCGCTGGAACTTCCTCCTAGCGCGCTCCGAGCGCCAGGGGCGGCGCTGGAGGCACCGCTTGGGGGGACCAGGCGCCGATCTAAGAACTCCCGCGGAGTTCCGAGGGTTTATGTCTACGCCGTTTGTGTTGTTCCTCTATCCCCCTCTATCATCCTTGTCCTCGTCGTCGCCCTCGTCGACCGTGGCCCCGAGTTTATCCGGGAGGGGACTCAGGCTTCAAGGTGCAAGGGTCTGGTCAGCCGCCTGCTTGCTTGCCGCTTTTGTCCTGACGGGGGTGAGAGTGTTGTGGCCCTTTGCTTGCTTGCTGTTCTGCTGGCGTTTGCTTTGGTGCATGTACGGTCTACGGGCCTTCTGGAGCGCCTTGAGGGGCGTATCCGCCCCCCCCGAGACGACGCTGGAACTTTCGCGGCCTCTGGGAGCAATGCCCAGAAGCCTGTTGCCGCCGACTCCCTTGCCCCAGGCATTGAGTATTTCCAGGGGGGCAGCAGGATGGCAGGGCGGGCCTCGGCGAATTGTGGGGGGCTTCGGGAAGCCCAGGGGAAGGTACTTGGGAAAGTCAGCAGGCAAGTCAAATCGAAGCATGGGCCTTCAAGAATCGAAGGGTCAGGAAGAAGCAAGCAAGCAAAACGAATCTCAAACAAGAACCCTTTCAGTTCAACTCAGCAAGCAAGCAGGCAGGTGTTGCACTATACCCCCCCATTTGGCCACATTCAAAAAAGCGAATGCAAACGACAATATTTACGTCTCAGGCAGCAACCAGACACCAATCCGAATTGTAAACCATGCGAGAACCACTAGAACATGACCAATTGAATCTCCATTACTGAATGGTGAACGTCAAGTGCTTCATTCGCATTCGAGGGGATCACTATGATATAATGTGTGGTGGCACAAAATTATGTTCTTCTATGGTGCACGCGTGCGCCATACGGAAATCAATTGGCAATGGCAACCTGACGTCGGAAAGTGAATGGTGAAAGCAATTCGTTTCACTTGTATTCGGGAGATCAGCATGATCTAACATCGTTTCCGATTGCATTTGTCTTTTTGCGCGCGCAACACAACATTCATTCGCGAGTGGGCAACTGAACCTCGAAATGTGATTGGTGAAAACTAAGTGTTCCACCCGTATGTCTTCTGACTCCTTTAACACGACATAATTTCATGTCTTGTGGCACAATACACATGATACCGGAGAAAAGCCCAAATCAGAATTTGTTTTGGGCTATAGGGTTATAGGGCTATTGGGCTATAGGGCTATAGGGCTATAAGGCTGTTACAGGGCTATAGGGCGATAGGGACATAGGGCTATAAGGCTATAGGGCTACAGGGCACCGGGCACCCGGGCATCTGGCACCCGGCACCCGGGCACCCACCCGGGCACCGGGCGCCCGTCACCTGGGCACCCGGGCACCCGGGCATCCGGGCACCCGGGGCCGGCCACCGAATCGGCGGCGAACCCGGGCACCTGGGCACCCGGGCCCGGCCACCAAATCGGCGGCACACCTCACCTACCCTTAAATCCGCTAGGACCCCTACAGAGGCAAGCTCTGATTGGGGAAATACACAGTTCTTATTGCGCGCGCGTGTGCACGCGTACACTCGCGCGCGCGCTCTCGCGTGCGCAATATAAACATAAATCGAGGATGGCCAACTTAGCATTGAAACCTGAATGGTGGAAGCCAATTGTTTCACTTGCATCTTGGGTCTCAACATGATGTGACGTACTGTGACACAATACGATTATCAGATTGCCAGTGCGTGCGCGCGCACGCGCGCGCAAGAAGAACGGTGTCTTCATTACAGTACATTACAACATGTTGAGGTCTTCAGAGTACGAGTGACACCATGGGTTCCCTACATTCCGTTTTCGAGTTTAAGTTTGCCATTCCCGATTGGTTTTGTATTGCGCGCACGAGGGCGCGCCTGAGCAATAAGAAACATGTATTGGATTGGGATATGTGATGTCATGCAGAGTTCCAGAATACAAGTGGAACGCATTGTTTTCACAATTCATCCATTTTTCAAAATTACGTTTGACGGTGTTTGTTTTGCACACGCGGGCGCAATCAAAAACGCGTTGCCATACAGTATTTGATATCAGGTTGGGTTTCAGAATGCAGGTGAAACAATTGTGTATCACCATTCAGCTTCGAAGTGAAGTCACCATTCCATATTGATGTTTGCATTGTGCGCGAGAGCTCGCGTGCGCGTTCTCGCGTGCGCAATACAGCCAGGCATCCCAAGCAGCAGTGAGACATAATCTGAGACAACAACCAGACAATGCAAACAGCATTGAGATAATACAGCAGGCATCACCGAGACAGCGTACAGACTGTATCCCAGACACCTCCAAACAACATTCAGTCAGCACCCGAAGAACTCAGACAGCACCCTAGGCAGCAAAGGCACACTACCCATACAAGCTGAGGACATCACTCCAGAGAGCCCTTGTGGTAACCCTGCAAGCCCGGGCAAGCGTACGACAGCGCTCAGGCAAGAAGCTAGGTAATTCCCCAGAATTCCCTGGATACCATTAAGAAGACCCCAGAACGGCCCGACAGGGCCCAAAGACAGCCCACGAGTCGCCCAAGATTTCCCAAGAGGGCCCTAAGAGGGGCTCAATAGGGGTAACTCGAACTGACATGTCGAGCCCTCCGCCCCGACAGGACCCCCTGGGACAGCCAGCAGGCGCCTAATAGGGAGGACAGATGTATCACTCCATCCACTTGGCCTTTATGTGCGGCCTCTCCTCGTGCAGCTGGCCGTCGTTCCTTCGAGTATTTTCAGAATCGATTCGCGGAGGAAGCCCGACACACAAACACAAACACAAACACAAGCACAAACAAAAACACAGACACGGCAACACAGACACAGACACAGACACGGACACAGCCACATTCAGACACACTGATACACAGATACACAAATACACTGGCACAGACACACAGACACACAGACACATAGACACACAGACGCACAGACACACAGACGCACAGACACACAGGCACATTCACACAAGCACGCAGACACATAGACACAGACGCACAGACACACAAACACACAGGCTCCCTACGGGGGCGGGAGAGGAATAACGGCATACGTATGTATTGTTGGAGGTCCAAGCGGTTTTTTTCCGATCGGCGTTGGAGCCCCTTGGCGGCGCCTCCGGCGCCAGCCTTGGCGCGTGGAGCGCGACAGGGAGGGGGCCCAGCGCCGATCCAAGAAGTCCGAGCGGACCTCCGATCGTCGATGTTTACGCAGCTGGTTCTTTTACGGAGGGCGGAAGAAGAAGTTCGGCCCTCTATCCCCGGAAACGGTCAGGAGGGGAAGCAGAGGCACGATGAGGAGAAAGAGGTGGAGAATGAGCACGAGGAGCACGAGGAGGACGGGTCGGAGGGCAAGGAGGATGACGGGGAGGAGGAGGGGCATTCTTCTCGCTTACTGTTGCGGCGTCGCAAGCCTAAATCAACATCTAGACTTGACGCTAGTTCATTCTAGTAAGGCCTGATGAGGCTGTAAATTCTATGTCGCCACAGGGGCGCGAAGGTAACCGCGTTTCGCGCGTCGCGTTCTGGGCTAGAGCGACCGCCCTTCCCGCAGGATGAGGAGGATGAGGAGGATGAGGAGGAGGCGGAGGAGGAGGCGGAGGACATCAGAAACCCCGCAGCGTCTGAGTCAGGGGGGAAGCAGGAGGTGGAAGGAGGGGGAGGAGGAGGAGGAGGAGGGAGGAGGGAGGGAAGGAGGAGAGAAAGTGAGGGAGGAAGGACGAGGACCGAGGAAGGAGGAGGAGGAGGGACGGAGGAAGGGGGGGATGAGGAAGAGGAGGAGGAGGAGGAGGAGGAGGAGGAGGAGACAAGGAGCTAGGCAGGCTGCGCCCCACGACGCAGGCTGGGACGAGATGGTCCAGGCCGTGCTGCTGCTCCGCCTGCGCCACTTCGAGGATCTGTGGGGTCGGCGGCGGCTCCGGCAACAGGCGCTCGGAGCGCGGGAGGCTGGGCGGTGCCCGGGGCCACACAGACGGAGGGGTTGTCGGGCCGCCTTCTTGCTTTCCTGACTGTGGTCATTGCTATCATTGTCGTCAATCGTACTAGAAGTGTTGTGTTTGATATTGCTATTGTTGTTGTTCTTATACTAGTATCTCCTATCGTGCTGATTCGTACTATTAGTGTTATTGTTATTGCTATTATTGTTATTCGAAATACTTCAAACACAAGGTCAATCGTATTCGTGTAAGTCGTAGCCATACTCTATTCCCATACATGTTGTTATTCTTATTGTTATTATTATTATTATCATGATTCGTAATACTAATACCCGCTTATAATACCTGTTCGTATTCGAAGACTAGTCGCATTGTTTTTAAATCAAACGCTGTTATTCGTATTATTGGTATGACCATTAGTGTTGGTCTCATCAATACCATGCTTAATATGATGAACGTATTATTTATGTTAGTAGTATGGTTCTCATATGATTGTTCTTATCTTCTTATCGATCTCGTTAAATTATGTTATTCGTGTAAGTGCCCCATTCGGAGTTTGCCTCTGTAGGGGTCCTAGCGGATTCATACGTGTAGGTGACCTACGTCGCCGATTTCGGTGGCCAGGCCCGGGTGCCCCGGGTGCCCAGGTGCCCAGGTGCCCGGGTGCCCAGGTGCCCCGGTGCCCAAGTGCCCGGTAGCCCTATAGCCTTGTAGCCTTATACCCGTATAGCTTTACAGCTCTACAGCCCTATAGCCTTATAGCCCAAAGAGCCCAATAGTCCTATAGCCGTATAGCTCTAAAACCCTAATAGATCTATACCCCTACAGCCCTATAGCCCTATATCCCTGATAGCCCTATAGCCTTTTAGCCTTATAGCCCTGTAGCCCCATAGCCTTCAAGCCCTATTGCCCCATCGCCCTATAGCCCCGAACAAAAATATGATTGGGGCTTTTCTCCGGTATCATAGTATGTTTATGATTATTCCGATGTAAATGATTAATGCTATTATTATTTTCCTGCTCCACCTTCTCCTCCGCCTCCTCCTGCTCTTCCTTCTCCCTCCCCTTCCCCCCTTTCCCTGTTCCTGCTCCCCTTCCTTCTCTTGGTCCTCCTCCTCCTCCTCCTTCTCATCCTCCTGTTCCTCCTTCTTCTCCGCCTCCTCCTCCTCCTCCTGCTCCTCCTGCTCTTCCTGCCCCCCTCCTTTCCATCCTCATCGTCTCCTCCTCCTCCTCCTCCTCCTCCTCCTTTTCCTTCTCCTTTTCCTCGCCCAGTGCGCCCAGAATGCGCGTACGGTGGGCTGAACGGTAACCGAGGCCACACAGGACACAGGGGGGGACTGGCGTAGGTTCGAGGCTCGAGGTTTTCAGGCGTTTTCGTTCGTTCTCCGCGGTTTTCCAGCCTCGGGATGCCTTCCAGCGGCTACGCCTCGCCGTGAGGCGTCCCGAGGTGCCCGGATCGTCTGGAGCGGCCGCAGGAGACCCGAGTTCTGACCCAAAGCCGACGACGAGGATCACAGTGGGAGGGGTTGCTCACGGCACCGGACAAGCTCAGGAGGCCTCGAGAGGGTCGCCAGGGCTCGCTCTCTCGCGGGCCTCTACGACGCTCCATCCAAGCCCACTCCACCGAAGCAACCGCCGATTCGGGATCGAGGATTGAGGTTTCTAGATTTCTCCTGCTCCTCCTCCTCATCCTCCTCCTCCTCCTCCTCCTCCTCCTGTTCTTCCTCCTCCTCCATCCTTTTTCCTTATGAATAACTCTTCCCTGTCACACCCCGAGACGTGTCCGTAGGGCAGGCCAGGCGTTTCGCTTGAAAAATCCCCACACTCTGTGATCCTGCCTTTTAATTACTCCGACGGTCTGAACCCACATGAGAATCTGTTTCACTTGCCTGGGGATCTCCTCCTGCCCCCTCCCTTCTCCCACCGACTCCTGCCTCCTCTTTCTTCTCCTCCTGCCTGCTCCTCCTCCTCCTGCCTCAACCCCTGCCTCCTCCTCCTCTTGCCTTGTCCACCACCTCCTCCTCTTCCTTTTCCTTCCTCCTCCTTCTCCTCCTCCTCCTCCTCCTCCTCCTCCTCCTGCCTCCTCTTTAGGCCTCCTGCCTCCTCCTGGGGCCTCCTGGGGCCTGTTGGGGCCTCCTGGAGCCTTCTGGGCCTCGCAGGACCCCCTGGGGCCTCCTATGGCATTCCACCTCTTCCTCCTCCTCCTCCTCCTCCTCCTCCTCCTTCTCCTCCTCCTCCTCCTCCTCCTCCTCCTCCTCCTTCTCATCGTCCTGTTGCCCCTCTGCCTCCTCCTCTTCCTCCTCCTCCTCCTCCTCCTCGTCCTCGTGCTGAACACGACCTAGAGGACACGCTCGACGCGCGTCCCAGCGGCTACGCGCCGGAGGACGACCCAGAGGAAGCGCGCGCCCGAGGACGACCAGGAGAAAGCACGTGAGGGGCGGACCCCATAGTGAGGAGGTTCCCGCCTGAGATTTCCTCGCGATTCACTCACAGACGAGGCCCCCGCCTGATACACTTCCTCCATATTCAGGCCTCAGGAGCCTCAAAGTGACGACAGTTGCAGGAGGCCGATGACCCGCCTCGGATTTGAACTTGAAGTGCGGTCCCAATAAAGAGGGGCTCCCGCCTGAGACATCCTCGCAATTCACTCACAGACGAGGCTCCCGCCTGATACTTCCTCCAAATTCAGGCCTCAGGAGTTTAAAAATGACGACAGTTACAGGAGGCCCATGACCCGCCCCGGATTCGAACATGAAGTGCGGGCGGGCCCCACAGGGAGGGGGCTCCCGCCCGAGACTTCCTCGTAATTCACTCACAGCCGAGGCTCCTGCCTGATACTTCCTCCATAGTCAGGCCTCAGGAGTTTAAAAGTGACGACAGTTACAGGAGGCCCACGACCCGCTTCGTATTCGAACATGAAGTGCGGGCCCCATAGAGAGGGGGTTCCCGCTTGAGACTTGTTCGCAATTCACTCACAGACGAGGCTCCCGCCTGATACTTCCTTCATATTCTGGCCCCAGGAGCCCAAAAATGACGACGGTTACATCAGGCCGGTGACCCGCCTCGGATTCGAACATGAAGTGCGGGCCCCATAGGGAGTTGGCTCCCGCCCGAGACTTCCTCGCAATGCACTCACAGACGAGGCTCCCGCCCGAGACGACACACAGGCGAGTGATGATCATGATGATGTGAGTGACGACGATGATCGAGATGCTGATGAGGCCAGTGGTAATGATCGTGAGTGAGTGATTGAGTGCGTAATAGTGCGATCGTGTGTGGTGAGTGCGTGACTGATGACGATGGGGTGAATGACTGAATGTGAATGATTGGTTGCGTAATAGAGTGGCCGTGTGTGGTGAGTGTGCGATTGATGATGATGATGATGGTGGTGCGAATGATTGAGTGCGTGATTGTGCGAAGGAAGAGAAAACTGAAGGCGTTATGACGGTGATGGTGCGTGAGTGATTGACCGAGTGAAAGTGCGAAGGGAGAAAAGTAGAGGGGGTGAGGTAACAGAACTGCGCGGGGTGTCCAGAGAAAACAAGAAGTCCACTTAGGATGTGGGGACAAATTGCTAGATGCAGTAGCTCCACGGATGGAGGGCGGGTGGTTGCGAAGTTGTGGTTCTCGCAGTAGCGCTGCGCATACTCGCTTTAAAAGCTTGCAAGAGTTTCACGGATGAAAGGGGGCCGTCTTCAAAATGTGTATTCGTCGCCACCGCACCGCGCATGTTCGCTTTAAAGTGTTGCAGGAGCTTCACGGATGGAGGGTGGTTCCTTTTCAAATTGTGGCTCTCGCCTTCGCGCCGCGCACATTCGTCGTAACGGTTTACAGCAGTTTCAAGGATTTTGACGGATGACGTCCCAGAAATGGCGTTCGGGCACGACGTAGGACTGACAGGGCGCAACAATTACGCTGACTCGCGGTGTTGAAGTCGCAGGAGCGGTGTTCTGTCACGACTCGGGACCGTCAGGACGCAACAGTAACGGTGACTCGCGGCGGCGAAGTCCCAGAGCTGATTTTCTCGTACGGATCCGGATGTTCAGACGGTTGTCTTCCAACGGGGCATTTCCCACAGTGAAAATGGGGCGTTTCCCACCGTGAAAATGAATCGGTGTAGGGGCCTAGGAAGAGGGAGTTTGGATGGAGGGTTTATTGCAACATCGTTGATGGGTCTTGGGTTTGCAGTGGTCCTCCTCCTCCTCCTCTTCCTTCTCTTCGTCCCCCCCCCCCCTCATGTCGTCCTTGTCTAGGTCGGAGTATGCGCTTCCTTGAGGGCGAGGTTTTCATACCCACCCACCCTGCGTCCTCTCCCAGCCCCTCCCGCCCTTCATCTGCTCCTCCTGTTCCCACCCCCCCCGCCCCTCCTCCTCGGCCCCTGCCCTGGACCTGCCCAGGGGCTCATTGTCGCGAGAATTTTGAGGCGGACCCAGCCGTGGCGACGAAGGGCGGCCTCCAGGAGGACCCCCACAGATATTGAGAAAAGCGCTCGTTCTCTCGAAGGTCTATCTTCTGTCTCCGAAGTTCCCTCTTCCTCATCCTTATCATCACCACCATCACCATCACCATCATCGTTATCAGCAGCATCATCATCTTCATCATCACCATTCGCATCATCGACATCATCACCATCAGCATCACCATCAGCATCACCATCATCATCATCATCATCATCATCATCATCATCATCATCATCATCATCATCATCATCATCATCATCATCATCATCATCATCATCCGCATCATCATCATCATCATCATCATCAGCATCATCATCATCATCAGCATCATCACCATCGCCATCAGCATCATCATCAGTTCCATCCTCATCCTCATCCTCGTATTCCTCCTCGACATCCTATCTGCATCCGCATAATCATTATCATAGCATCCGCATCCGCATCCGCAACCTTATCATTATCATCATCATCACCATCATCATCATCAACAACAGCATC